ATGTGGTCCCATATTATCTAACAGAAGTTTCTTGTAATGTTCTAGGCACTGTGATGGAGTGCGTCCCACAATAGGAGCGATTGTTCTCCATTGAGAGGGCATGAACTTAGCAAGATGAAGCAGCTTCTCTTCTTCTTCTCTGGTCCATTTAATCTGTAAGGTTACAAATAAAAGTTAGGATTTGATCAAAAGATTCTACAATTTTTGTAAGTGACCTAATTCTTGAGAGTAAGTTGCATGCATACCTTTGTAATGGAGGGATGAAGCCACTCATACCAACGCGCTTTACACTGCGTAGCGGATTTATGAACGAGTAATGAAGAGCTACGAGTCCATTGGTTGGTTCCATATTTCGAAAGAGCAGCCCTGAGGATCTCATCCTCTGTATTCGTCCAACTGCATTCCTTTGCCATTATCTTCTTCTTCCTCCTCTTTTTCTACGTTTTGATCAGTCCCAGATCTATAAAAAAAAATTACGTCACGATTTAACAAATAAAAAGCAATAAAGTCCTAATCAAAACGCTTATCATCATCACTTAGTCAAAGTTTCGAAATCTTTGACTATTTGAAAAGTGGAACAATTGAACAAATCAACCTTTAACGATTAATAAATCAACAATTATTTAATTAAATTAAACAAAGAAACTTACATCGGAATGAAAGTGTGACGGTGATGTTGTTAGAAACTGATAAGACCGGACGGAGCCGGATGCGGGAAGAGGGGCGGGACCTTTCCCGCTCCGATGAACACCGCACCGGCGGTGCGGGAAGCGAGCGTGGGGAAGGAGGTGGGGGTGGGGTTGCCACGTTCTAGCTCCTCCTCCGATTGGTTGTTTAATTTTTTTTTTCTTTTTTTGTTCCAACGGCTATATAACTTTAATATATATATAAATTTTTTTCTATTCCCCCAATATAAATACCATAACACCCAACATTTTTTTAACCCATACCTTCTTACTCTCTCCAAAAAATATTAATCAAAATGTCATCATCTTCATCATCCGATTCGACGGCTCAACAGGAGGCTAAGTTTATCGGTTCCGTCATGGCGAAAACGATTGCATTGTAACGCCTGGTTCCTGGTATGCATTTAAACTTATTTATTTATTCATTTTGGAAGGGCTACTCGACGAGTTGATGGCCCTAACTCGTCGAGTAGAAGGCAGAATATGCGCGAGTATTTTTAGCAAGCTACTCGACGAGTCGAAGTCCTGACTCGACGAGTCGAAGTCCTGACTCGACGAGTAGGACAGTCTGGATGAAACCCTAATCTTTAGGGCTTGCACCCTATTTAAGCATCATATCTGGCCTCCACCCCAGCCCCCATCACCTCCAAACCCTAATAAACCTTGAGTGATCTTGAGCTATTTCTTTGCCATTGTTGTGATTAAAGCTAGAAGAAGGAAGCAAAGGCTTGGAGTTGCATAAGGAAGGTTGAAGATCTAGAGCTAGGGACTCATTTCTGACTTGATAGAGGTATAAAGCTTATACCTTGGCTTCTATTCACTTAGATCTTCATTTGAGCTTGTATGTTGTCATTTTTGGGCCATCTCCAAGGTCATTCCGAGATTTTAACTCTTGGGGATGTAAGGACTTCAGATCTGGGCACTCTTAAGCTTTAGGAGCTCAAAGTTGCCACCTTTATTCAACCATAGCCCTATCCCATGACTTAAAGCTCCATTTTAGCTTGTATTGGGTGTTTTAGCTTCATATCACCATGCATGCACGTAAAGTTAGCAACTTTACGTGTAATGCTAGTCTAAGGAGTCCAGATCTATGAGTTGGAAGCATTAGAATTGATTAGAATCGACTGTATGGAATTGACACATGGGGGACTCGGTGAGTTGTTCTTGTGACTCGACGATTCGGGTCGCGAACCTCAAACCCCTTTTCTGGTTTTGAGTGAAACCATTGAGTCTAGGAGGTGACTCAGTGAGTTGGACAAGATTAGGACTCGGAAGCTGAAGAACTCGATGAGTCCAAGGAGGGAATCGACTAGTTGAGTCGGGTTATCCCGATTTTATGGCAGACAGAACTCGACGAGTTTGTTAAAGGACTCGCCGAGTTGACTCGGTTGACCACGAGTCTGAGTAGTACATGAACTCGCCGAGTTAGGAGATAACTCGACGAGTTGGGGTTGACCTTGACTTTGACTTTGACCTGGATGTTGACTTTGACCAAGGGTAAAATCGTCATTTTACCCTAAGAAGGATTATCAAATTTCTGACTAAGTGTATATGTAGTTGATAGCCGGGGAGTCGCCGGAGCAGTAGTCAGAGATTCTTCACTCGAGTTTTAGCAGTCAGCCTTACGAGGTGAGTTTTCTCCTGTAGGAACGGGTCTACGGCCACAATGTCGGCCCGTTTAGTTGTTAGTAGTTCCGGGCTACGGTCCGATGTCGGGCATGGCCCAATGTAGGTCATATGCTTTCCGGATTACGATCTGATGCCGAGGCGGTCCCGAGGAATGTTTATGTATGCTTGATGTCTTTGTGATTCTTGCATGTTATGTGTTATGTGTTCCGGGCTTCGGTCCGATGTCGGGGCAAGCCCGATGTATGTTAGCCTATATGTTATGTGTTATGTGTTCCGGAATCCGGTCCGATGTCGGGGCAAGCCCGATGAATGTTTATATGCTCATGTTATATGCTTATGTTATTGTTATGCTATGTTGTATGTATGTCGGGGCAAGCCCGATGTCGGACGGGGTCCGTTGCCCAATGCGGTCGGATGCCGGGCGGCGCCCAATGCCTGGTAAGCCGATGTCGGGATTCGTCCCGATTTAGCTGGGCGGTGTCCCAAGGTTATGATATATGTTATGTGTATGGTATGTGGTAGTTTGGGGAGACTCACTAAGCTTCATGCTTATAGTTTTCAGTTTTGGTTTCA